CCTACTGTCCGCTCAACAACGATAACTGCGAGGCCACTCAGTCGTCGCTACGTTGCAGGATCCCAAACCTTAAAGAGTTCTTCCCTGATGTCAACCTGGCACTGCATGCTCTACCCCTCCGACTCGTTGGTGGAAAATGGTCACCTCGTACGGCTACATCTCGCAGCTCTACCTGGAAGGAGCGAGCCGCTATTCTCCTGGCCATCGATGAATGTATCGGTCTGCTCGAGGGACGAGTCGTGGTCATTGTCGACAACCAGAATGTCCAGAAAGAGTGGCGCAGTTTCGCCAACGACTTCACTGGTCCCTTCCTACACCGTTGGGAGCAATTCCTTCGAGTCGTACATGATGTCCGCTGGTCTCCACGAGATACCTCTCCGGTATGGCCCGATGCCCTTGCACGAGCCATCTCTGATTATGGGGAGGAGAGAGAGGTCTACGATGAGCTCATTGACTCTGCTGATAATGCGAACTGCCACGTTGTCGACGCCACGGAAGACACCGCTCCGAACGATGATGAGCAACCCTCATCTGGTCCAGAACAGGCGCTCAGGCACATCGTCCCGGTTCAATTGCTCAGGCGTTCTTTCGATGCTTGGCGTGGTCGCACGACCTTTCAAGAAGTGGCAACCATCCCAGTCGACCCCGCCGCTGCACGCACTTGGCTCCGAGACGTCCAGACCAATGACCCTACTTGTCAGAGGCTCGCCAGTCTCCCCCGCTCACAGTTCACCATTGACAACGACGGATTGTTGCGATATGGGCATCGTTACTTTCTACCTCAACGGTTTGCTCACTCGGTTATCGAAGATATCCACATCTTCCTCGGTCATTGTCCGCTCAAGCAAACCCACGACAGTGTAGTAAAGGCTTTCTACATCCCTGGTGTCTCTCGGCTTGTTCAACACGTGGTGTCAAGATGCGCATGCCAGTTCTCAGCCGGCCGTCGGGGCAACGTTAACCCCATCGGTCCCCCATTGAGAAGTACTTCAAGGCCTATGAAGATCCTCGACTGTTGCTTCCTTGATATTGTCGGTCCTCTGCCTGTGTCGGAATCCTTCTCCCACCCCTTCAAGTTCATCATATCATGCATGGACTGTTGCAGCGGTTATTGTTGGTTCTTTCCAACTCCCGACATCACCAGCAAGACCATCACTGGTATCCTCGAAGCAAGGCTGATCGATCAGGTCGGAGTCCCACGAGTTTTCACAGTCGACAACGCCCGCTATTTCACTGGTGTT